CGAAAGTGTTCAGCTTTCCAGACCTTTAGGACTTTCAACTCCACTGCCTTTGACCTTGGTTAAGGTACCTAATCTAACCTGTCTGTGCCGCAATTTCTTCCCCTGTAAAATGGAGATAATAATAGTACTTCCCTCACGCTGTTGTGGCAAGGATTATATAAGTTAATACATATAAAGTGCTTATAATAGGTCCCACACATAGTACGTGTGCATCAGTGGTAATTATTATTCCATGCAGGAAGACGCAGGGAAGGAGGTGGGAATGGAATGCAGTCTGGCCACATCCAGGAAGCTACTCTAGCTAGTGGTTCAGACATGGAAGAACACTGTGAGCCGGGGTAACTAACTGCAGGCAAACCTCCACAAAGAAGGCGGCCGACTGGGGAGCACTGATTCCATTTGCCCATCACTTTACAAAGCACTTTTAGGTTCTGAACGGGTGTAATCCTCACAAAAACAATCATGTCGGTGGGTATTATAGTCCCTATTTTATCCATGAGAAAAATCGGTGCAGGGAGGTCGAGCGCCTTGCCCGATGGAACCATAGATTTCCATGGTGGTGGCCCGAAGATTTCCACTCAGAGACTCTGATTGACATCTCAATACAGTCGCTATTACCCGTGTGAAGTCTCGGGGCGCGTAGGAGAGTCCTAGGTCCAGAGGTCCAGTGACTCCTGTGCAGGATAACAGAACCGCTTTTAGTAATCGCGTCCCGGTGCTGAGCTGCTGCGTACGCGACCGGCTGTGGAGGTTCGCGGACAGGGCAGCCCGCGCGCGAGGGGGCAGCCAGTGCTAGCGTCTGTATTATGAATATCAAAGCAACTCATTTACGGAGGATCCCCACCCCTTCTCCCGCCTCCAGGGGGCGTGGCAACAAAGCGCGGGAAAACCGGCTTCGACTCCACCCCCACCCCGTGCTGGGGGCGGGGAAAAGGAGAGCCCTAAAATGGGAAATGGAAGCGAGGGTCGGTCCCATCCAGTCCCCGTGCTCAGGAAGCCTACCAGCATGCCGCTTTAAGATCCCTTTCGACATGGCTCAGGCCACGCCAGCACTCTAACGTCACCTCTCCTCCACTTCCGGTCTGCAAAGCCGTCCCGGGCTCCTGGTGCCGGTTCCTTCCACACTCATAACTAATCCCGCCCCCACTGCAAGCGCTCCTGCAGAGGGAGAAGGTAGGGGTAACGCCATCGCCCAGGAGCTGGCCCGCGCGAGAACCCCATCCGTGCAGGTTATATGACGATTTAGACAGTAGGAAGACTGCAAGGAACTGGTCAACCAGATGACGTAATGTTTTGGGTAACGTCCCATTTTGTGACTTCTGCACGGCATGACTGACATTGGGGTTTAGCTTGAGAAGACAATGCAAGCGGATCTACGCATCCGGGCTTCGTTAGGAGTCAACGAGGCGCTCCTCAAAGTGCCCACCAAATAGAAGCTGAGAGTTCTTTTAATTTGCATAAGTGAACTGCAGGCTTCAAGGATTGTGGCCAATAGGGAGTGAGGGGGCGGAGACGCACCTGGGATAGTCACCGCCTCTAGAGGGAAAGCAGGGGATCAGATTGGCTTCTTTCTAAGCGACTGTAGCGGAAGCCAGTCATTTTTGAGATGCCCAGATGGGGCAGGTGGGCCCGGCGCAGCCAATGGGGAGAGGCATCTTCAGAAGGACTAGGTTCCTTGCCCAATGAGGCTGGGAGGACTGTGAGGGGCTAGTTCCGAGCGGCAGTACTTAAGGCCAACCCAGTGCGGGGCCGGGAGGGGCGCAGTGCTGAACGACGGGAGCGTGGGCCAATGGCGAGTGCGGAAGCGGGCAGCCCAGACCTGGAACGCGGAGGGAGCTGAAGGAGGGGGAGGCTGAACGGGAGAGAAGCAGGAAGTAGCGGCGGCCGCGGGGAGGGCGGCGGCGGTGGCGGTGGCGGTGGGAGCAGGCGAGAGACCGCCGGGTCTCGGCCCGCACTTGGAGCGGAACAAGTAAGCATACCTGGGGTAATACCCGCCCTTGGCCCCGCCCCCGGGGGGGCGGGTAAATACCCCCGCCCCTCCCCCACTTGGTCAACTACCCCCTTCTCCGCGCCGCCCCCCTGGGGCGGCTTCTAGGAAGGCCCCGCCGGCGCCTCCATCCCTTGAGGCGGATGGGCGAAACTCCCAGCCTGTTGAAAGCACAGCCCCCTGCCGGGTAAACGTGGAGGGAGGGTCAGGGTCCCCAAGTCTAGGCGCCCCGAGCCCAAGAGGCGTCCGAAGCGCGGCCCGGTGACTGGAGGCTGCGGGATGTCGCGACCTAAAATGGTGTCCGTGTCCGGGGGCGGGGGCGGGGGAGCTGGGCCTGGCCGGAGCGGAGCCTGCACCCCGACTGGGTGCGGGTCAGCGTCCGGGCCCGGGCGGGACTCAGGCTCGCGCCCCGGTCCGCTGCGCGCCTTCGGCTCACTCGCGTCTCGAGGGATCCTCGGGAGTCTGCGGGAGGAGGAGGCTGTGCTGCGCCGGGACGAGGGGAGGAGGTCGGAGTTGGGACGGACCCCGGTCGGAGAGCTGCGAGTCACGCAAAGACCGTCCCCTCCCCACTCCTCTCTTTCCACGCGCCTTCCCTACTCCTGTGAAGTCCTGGGCCGGGAGGTGCTGCGCGGCAGATCCCGTGGGGCCTGGCCTGGCCGGCGCCCGTCCTTCCCTCCGCACGCCGGTGGGAGCGAGAGAAGCGCGGTGCGCCTCAGTTTCCCCAGCGGCTTTTCCTCTGTACACCCCGCCCCCTCCTCGAAACCCCGGACATCTCCCCGCGCCGGCCCTCGGCAGATGGCAGGGACTTAATTCCACCCGCTGCCCAGCTTGGCGGCAGCCTAATCGCCCCCGGCCGCCGGCCCCTCGCCCTCCTCTGCGCTGCAGGCCCCGGGCCAGGGGAAAGGGCAGTGGAGCCCCCTCCCGACCCAGGCCAGTTCACCCTCTTCCTGTTCAGCCCCTTCCTTTGGTGTTTGGGGAAGAACAGAAGGAAAGGGGTGGGGGGAGGGCCGGAGCCCAAGAGTTCGGGCACAACGGCCGCAGAAAAGGCCTCAGCCGTGGGGTGGGGGGGAGCCTCTTTGGCCTTGAGCTCCCGCTGCTTGCTGGACTGTCCGCTCCTGGCTATCGCATGACCTCTAAGTCACTTGGACGCCAAAGGGGGAGTTGCTTGGGGAGGGTGAGTGGGCATATGTTTCCTTGTAGTCCCCAGTGATCTGTGCTTCACCAACCCGCTTTTCTGGTGGCCAGGGTGGAAGGTAGCTCGGGTTTCTCCTGTTGGGGAGACAGCCAGGCAGAGGAGGGCCCTGGCTCTCCATCAGGGCAGAGGCAAGGGATGGAGGGCTGTGTTTAAACCCAGAAACTGCAGAATTAAGTAGGGGGTGATGAGGGGAAACTTCCCTTTCTTTCTCTAGTTGGTACCCTCTTCCTCTACCCTACCTTCCTCCCAGCATTGCCAGCTGCCACCTGCTGGGACTCTCTCCAGTTTCGGTCTAAAGGCTGGCAGGAGGTGAGAGAATTGGCCCTGGGAAGTGGCTTGCATCCTGGGCAGAGAATGTGTAAGGACAGAGACTTCTTCAGTTTCTTCCTCTTAGATATGGAAACACTTTTGGGGAGAAACTGGTGAGGAACAGACCCGGGTTCCCCACAAGCCCTAGGCTATCCTTCTTGTTGGTTTAGTGCCACATGAGTCTTGTGGGATGTGTGTGTGTGTGCGTGTGCGTGCGCGTGCGTGTGTGTGCACGCGTGCACGTGCGGGCGCGTACACTGGGCCAGGTTGGGGTTGGGCGAGACTTCCTGGACTGGTGTTGCCAAGGGAAAATGAAAAGGGGAGGAGTATGAGTTCGGAGCAGAAGTGACAGGAGTGAGGGGGATTGGCTTTTCCCCTTTGTGGCGGCTGTGCTGGGTAAGTTACCCTGGAGTTTTGGCCCTGAGAGAGCAGGATCCAGGGAGAGTGGAAGGGAGGAGGGGCTGGCCCAGGGAGGGCCACGGGAGGGCAGAGGCACTCTGGGGAAGGTAGGTGAGCTAGCAGCAGGTGTTTGTGACAGGAGAGGCCTAGGCTGGGGCCCTTGTGACCAGGGTGCCGTCACGGTTTTCCCCTCTGTCTCTTTGTCTCTTTCTGTTCCTGTGTCTTATTCTTTCCATCTTGGTCTCTTGGGTGGTTTCCCTCAGTCCACTTCTCCTTGGTAACCAAGCTAGATCTCCAGGTGCCAGTGATGACCCCAAGTCTCCAGACTTAACCCCTGATTCTTCTCTCTGACCCCAGTCCTGGATTTTCAGTGCTTATTCCTTCCTGGCTCCTCCTTGACCTGACTAGTCCTTGTTTGTCCCACCTGTAATAACAAATCTTCTGGGTTCTGACTCTCAGGGTTACGATTCCTATCATGCTCAGACTCACCCTGTAATGTATGGATTACTTGGCCCTCCTTTTCAAAAGTAAGGCAGTGGACAGCAGGCCATTAATAAAGCTGGAACTAGAATCATTTCTTACATCTTGGTCTAAGTCACTGTCTCTTTGTACACTGACCTTTCAGATCTCTGTGGACCCCCAGAAGATCCCTGAAGAAATTGTGAATGGGTCCCGTGCTGCCTTGAATGAGCCCTTAGCCCCAGAGCATTGTGTACATTTTGCTCCTTTATTGATTAATTGATTGGTTCTGTGCAGGGCCCAGGAGGGGCTGAGGCAGTTTTAACCAAGATGTTCACTGAACTCGTCTGTCTCTGTTGCCCTTGTCTCTCAGCTGTGTTTCTGAGAAGTGCCTTTTCCTCGGCTTTCTCTGGATCTTGGTGTCTTCCCTGGAATGTGCACAGTACCTCTCTTTCAGTTTTAGGGTTTGGCAGAGCTCCACCAGCTCCCTAGGATTTGCGCAGCGGTAAAGGTGTGCCCAGGTCACGTTGTGCGCAGGTCCTGAGCAGGTGAAGCTGGAACTCTCCAGGGAGGAGGGCCGGGGCCCCTGCCTCCAGAGGGCTCAGTTTCTCCTCCTTTCTTCTGTTTTCATCAGGTTGGGGACCCGCTGCCATGGGGGACATGAAGACCCCTGATTTCGACGACCTCCTTGCTGCCTTTGACATCCCTGACATTGATGCGAATGAAGCCATCCACTCTGGGCCAGAAGAAAATGAGGGGCCCGGAGACTCAGGGAAGCCAGAACCCAGCGTAGGGGGTGAATCTGGAGAGGCAACAGCAGCAGCTGCCCGGGATGGCCCCGAGATTCCAGCCCAGGCCTCTGATCATGGCCTGCCACCCCCAGACATCTCAGCAGTCAGCGTCATTGTCAAGAACACTGTGTGTCCCGAGCAGCCTGAGTCCCCGGCTGGAAGTTCAGGAGGGGACGGGACCCGGGCTGTGGGGGTGACTAAGGAAGGGCCTGTGGGACATCGTCTGATGCAGAATGGTTTTGGGGGCCCTGAGTCATCCCTTCCAGGTACACCCCACTCTCCAGCTCCTCCCAGTGGGGGTACCTGGAAAGAAAAAGCCATGGAAGGCAAAGCTCCTTTGGACCTTTTTGCTCATTTTGGGCCTGAGCCAGGGGAGCACCCTGATCCCCTCCCTCCCACTGCACCCTCCCCGCCTCAGGAAGGGGCCATGACCCCACCTCCTTTCTCTTCTCCCTTTGAGCTGTCCCGGGAGAATGGCCCAGCCTTGCTGTCGTCTGGTTCTCCCCCACCGCTGGGGACCTTGAAGCAAGACAGCTGCAGCCCCATTCATCCTCCGGGCCTAGCCGGGCTAGGCTCTGGCTCTAGCCCTGAGGCCATGGACATTCCTGCCGGCGCCTCACCTCCCCAGGTTGCAGGGGTGCCCTTCTTCAAGCAGTCTCCAGGGCATCAGAGCCCTCCTGCCTCCCCCAGAGTGCCCCGCTGTCAGCCCCTGAAGGAAGAGGAGGAGGAGGGGCCGGTGGCCAAGTCTTCCCCCAGAAGTCCCCAGAGTCCCTCTAGTGGAGCCGAGGCTGCAGATGAGGACAGCAACGACTCCCCTGCCTCTTCCAGCTCCTCAAGGCCTCTCAAGGTGCGGATCAAGACCATTAAAACGTCCTGCGGGAATATCACAAGGACGGTAACCCGGGTCCCGTCAGATCCCGAACCCCCTGCCCCCTTGGCCGAAGGGACCCTCCTAGCTGAGGCTGGCCTCCTGAAGCTATCCCCCGCGCCCCCGACCCCTGAGGGTCCAAAGGTGGTGAGTGTCCAGCTGGGTGACGGTACACGGCTAAAAGGCACCGTGCTTCCTGTGGCCACCATCCAGAACGCAAGTACGGCCATGCTGATGGCGGCCAGCGTGGCCCGCAAGGCCGTGGTTCTGCCTGGAGGTGCTGCTACCAGCCCTAAGACGATGGCTAAGAATGTGCTAGGTCTGGTGCCCCAAACCTTGCCCAAGGCCGAGGGACGGGTGGGGCTGGGGGCTGGGGGGCAGAAGGTGAACGGTGCCTCGGTGGTGATGGTGCAGCCCTCCAAGCCGGCCCCCGGGCCCGGGGTGGGCGGTGGCACGGTGATCTCGCGGACTCAGTCTAGCCTGGTGGAGGCCTTCAACAAGGTCCTCAATAGCAAGAACCTGCTGCCTGCCTACCGGCCCAACCTGAGTCCTCCGGCCGAGGCCGGGCTGGCCCTGCCTCCAACCGGCTACCGCTGCCTTGAGTGTGGGGATGCCTTCTCACTGGAGAAGAGCCTGGCAAGGCACTATGACCGCCGGAGCATGCGCATCGAGGTCACCTGCAACCACTGCGCCCGCCGCCTGGTCTTCTTCAACAAGTGCAGCCTGCTGCTGCATGCCCGAGAGCACAAGGACAAAGGACTCGTCATGCAGTGCTCACACCTGGTCATGAGGCCCGTTGCTCTGGACCAGATGGTGGGGCAGCCGGATATCACGCCCCTGCTGGCTGTCCCTCCTGCCCTCGGACCTCCAGCCTTGCCTGCCCTGGGCAAGGGGGACGGGGCCATCACTGCTGCCATTACCGCAGTTCCTGCCGAGGCCCCTGTGCTGCCGCTCTCCTCCGAGCCCCCTGCTGCCCCTGCCACCTCAGCTTACACGTGTTTTCGCTGCCTGGAGTGTAAGGAACAGTGCCGGGACAAGGCGGGCATGGCTGCCCACTTCCAGCAGCTTGGGCCCCCCGCCCCTGGGGCCAACAGCACTGTGAGTTGCCTTTCACTGCCCTTCCCCGGGGTAGAGCCCGATGCCCGGGGAGTAGGACCTGGGAGGGGGTTGGGAGCTTAGGGGAGGTCACAGGGGACAGGCCACTGCTCACTGTCTTGTTTCCACCCCCTCGAAAGGTGTGCCCCACCTGTCCCATGATGCTCCCCAATCGCTGCAGCTTCAGCGCCCACCAGCGTATGCATAAGAACCGGCCTCCCCACGTCTGCCCTGAGTGTGGGGGCAACTTCCTGCAAGCCAATTTCCAGACCCATCTCCGGGAGGCCTGTTTGCATTTGTCTCGCCGTGTGGGATACAGGTGCCTCCTGCCTTCCTGCCCCGTTGTCTTGAGACCATCTATCCCTGCCCCCAAGCCCACCGTTGTGCAGCTCAGCACTTTGTGGCCCAGTACCAGCCTTTTAGCCGGTCTTTGAGGGAGCGCCCCATCTCCCCTGCTGAACTCCTCCTCCTGGGATCTGTCTGCCTTTGCCCTGCCCCCATGGAGAGCAGAGAAAGCCCCAGACCACTCTCCACACGCCTCCCTCAAGGAGCAGGGTCTATTCACCCCTCCCGTCCCCACCTTGCTCATGCTCCATCGCCGATGAGCTTCTAAGTCCAGCGGCTCTGGGGATGAGAGGGCTGGGGGACAGGCTGGAGCTGCCCCACCTTACCTCCACGCTCCGTGCCCCCCAGGTGCCCTAGCTGCGCAGTGGTGTTTGGGGGTGTGAACTCCATCAAGTCCCACATCCAGACGTCGCACTGCGAGGTTTTCCACAAGTGCCCCATCTGCCCCATGGCCTTCAAGTCTGCACCCAGCGCCCATGCCCACCTGTACACCCAGCACCCCAGCTTCCATGCGCAGCAGGCCAAGTGAGACCTGGGAGGGGGTGGGGCGGGCCGGAGTGGGCTTGGGGCCCTGCTGGCCAGGGTGTCTGCACTGTCCTCTCCGCCCACACAGGATGATCTACAAGTGCGCCATGTGTGACACGGTCTTCACTCACAAACCCCTCCTCTCCTCACACTTCGACCAGCACCTGCTGCCCCAGCGTGTCAGCGTCTTCAAGTGCCCGTCTTGTCCTCTGCTTTTTGCCCAAAAAAGGACCATGCTGGATCATCTCAAGGTATAGAAGTTAAGGGACAGAGGCGGGGGTGGAGGTGGGGTGGTGTGCTCAGCTGTGGTGACCTGGGGCTGGGGTCACATGACCTTCAGGAAGTGGGGGGTGTGGGAGCAAATGCCACTGGCTGACCCAGGCCCTCCCCTGCAACGGCTGCACCCTTGTCTCCCTCTCTCAGAACACCCATCAGTCCGGGCGCCAGGGGGAGGACACTGCTGGGAAAGGGGCCGCGGGTGCCCTAACGACCCCCAAGGCTGAGCCCGAGGAGCTGGCCTTGTCTCGGGGAGGAACAACCGTCCCCACTGAGGAGTCGTCTTCATCCTCGGAAGAGGAAGAACTACCCAGCTCCCCCTCACCCCCCTCGCCCAACCAAACGGCCCCGGCGGGAGCTAGGGAGCAAAGGCATCAAGGGTGGTGGGGGCGGGGGCCCTGGAGGCTGGACCTGTGGCCTTTGTCACTCCTGGTTCCCCGAGCGAGATGAGTATGTGGCTCACATGAAGAAGGAGCATGGCAAGGTGAGTGGGGCTCCCCCTCGGGCATTGGTCTGTGTGGCCTTGGAGGGGCAGTGGCCTGGAGCCTGGCTCTGAGCTGCCCCGCCCTCTGCTCTCTCAGTCTGTGAAAAAGTTTCCCTGTCGCCTGTGTGAGCGCTCCTTCTGTTCCGCCCCCAGCCTGAGGCGCCACGTCAGGGTCAATCATGAGGGGATCAAGCGAGTTTACCCATGCAGGTAACCCTTGGCTGCTTGCCGCCTCGTCCCCCTCCTCGTTCTGCCCAGCAAGTGACCCGCCCACCCCATGCCCCCACCCCCACTAAGTACCTGCCAACCCGAGTCTTGTCTTGAGTGGACTGAAGGTTGAGGTCTCCTCTCTGGGAGACCCCCCCCCCCACCCAGCCACCCACCCCACCCTTGAGTCCCCACCCAACCTTGGTTTCTGGGCTGTTCCCCTGGTGCCCACGCTCCACACTCTCCCCCTCTAGGTATTGCACAGAGGGAAAACGCACCTTCAGCAGCCGCCTAATCCTGGAGAAACACGTCCAGGTTCGGCATGGCTTGCCACTTGGGTCCCAGTCCCCTGGCCGGGGTAGCACCCTGGCTCGGGGCCCCGGTGCCAGAGCCCAGGTAGGCAGAGGCCCGGCCCACTGTGTCGGGTCCCTGGGGCTGGAACGCGGCGGGATTCTAGGCCTTGGCCTCGGGAAGCTAGGTGGGTGTGCCCGGGACCATGCGGGGTGATGGGGAGGCCTAGTTTCTGTACTCTCTCCTCCAGGGGCCAGGACGGAAACGCCGCCAGTCCTCTGACTCTTGTAGTGAGGAGCCTGACAGCACAACACCCCCGGCCAAGTCCCCCAGGGGTGGGCCCAGCTCAGGAGGCCACGGGCCCCTGCGTTACCGGAGTGGTGGCTCAGTGGAGCAGAGCCTTATGGTGGGGTTGAGGGTGGACGGCGGTGCCCAGCAGTGCCTCGACTGTGGCTTGTGCTTCGCCTCCCCGGGCTCGCTGAGCCGGCACCGTTTCATCAGCCACAAAAAGAAACGGGGTGTGGGTGGTGCCAGTGCCCTGGGCCTGGGTGATGGGGAAGAGGTCCCTCCTCCACTGAGGTCTGATCCAGAGGGTGGAGAGTCCCCCTTGCCTGCCTCTGGGGGCCCGCTGACCTGTAAGGTCTGTGGCAAGAGCTGCGACAGCCCCCTCAACCTCAAGACCCATTTTCGCACACACGGCATGGCGTTCATCAGGGCTCGGCAAGGGGGCAGTGGGGACAACTAGGCCTGGGCCTGAGTTGACCAGCCCTCTCCCCTCCCTTTTTGCCGGGAGCCTGGGTCACTGCTGCTGTGTGGTCCCTGGACTAGGGATTTCATCCTAATTCACATTTTGTTCAGCTCCTCACCCCCATCCCCCGAACACAACAGGCTTTTGAGGATTATAGTGGTTTGCAGTCCCCTTTGGGTTTGGCCCGTGGGTCCTAGTAGAATGGGCCCTCCATTCCTCCTTTCTGAGCCCAACACTAATTACTCTCCTGCTGCAGACCCCCGAGGTGGGTCTGGGGGTGGGAGGAGGGACTTTCCTAGGCCACTGGGGCCCTCAGGATGCTTCTCCACCCTCAAGGGCCTGGCCCTGCCCCTGTACCACCCTTCAGACTCCCTGGCACTTGAGCCCCCCACCCCTGCAGTGCCTTTCACTTTTTTTTTTTTTTAATCCAGAAATCCAGAGGGGGTTGGTGGGGACGAGTGTTGTCAAGGGAGGGCCCAAGGGAGAGGAGTGGACAGGCTCTCAGGAATCCTTTATTCTTGTAGTAATAATACTAACAGTGGGGAAACGGGAGGGAGAAAACCAGACCATTAAAACTGCTCATGGTTTAATCCCCATTCAGGCTCCTCTTTTTATGTGACCTAGACACTGGGGACTTGACAGGGAGTTGGTGAGAGTCAAAACCGGGGAGGCCCTTCCAGGGACAAGGAGGCACTGATTGAGCCAAGGCAGGGAAGGAGCAGTCCTCTTCCACCTGGCTCTGTGTGGTGCCTTCTGCATCAGGGACATTGAGGCATCTGCTCAACACTTCCTCACCTATCCCCCTCCCCCCCAACCCCTGAAAAAAACACAATCCAGTAATGACACAGATGGCTAACTAAGGACTTTATTTCAAACAAAAATTAAAAAGTTGAGAGTTCTTTCCCCGGATGTGGGGGAGGGATCAGGCCAAGGAATCCCCTGTGGCTAGGCTGATCCCCTCATCCACAGGAGGGGTCCCAGTCCTTCCCGCCCTTGACCCCGGGACTGGGAACCACCACGCGTGCAGGACCCTACGTCAGAGCCAGCCGCTAGGAGGGGACAGAGGCAGGCAGCAGCACAGCCAAAGGGCAACCACAGGAGTCCTAAGTACCAAGAACCTACTGTCCCCACCCTCCCCCCTTCCTGGGGCCCAGAACACAGCAAGGATGGCCTAAGGGAAGAACCTTGTGGACCCTGGTGAGGAGCAGAAAGGCCCCAGTGTCCCTCCCATCGGTCGCCTCTCCTCCAGAGGGGGAGGGCATCGAGTCCTGCAGTTTCCTGCAGTTTGTCGGGAGGGGAGGTCCTGGCAGGTCTGGGCCCTGCCGCTGCTGGCACTCCCACTCCCAGCAAGCTCTACAGTTACCACATGATCCTCTGTATTTCTTGCCTTCCATTTCCCATGGGCAGGCGGGGCTTCCTCCCAGGAGGGTCCCCCACCCCTGCCGGCCTGGTTCACATGATGCCATTGGTGAGGTACTGGAAGCCATCGTAGAGCTTGGTGGTGATGGACCGCATGCTGCCATCCACCATCTGCTCCACCAGCAGCTGAAGCTGCTCCTCGGTCATGCTCATGTGGAAGCGCTCTTTCAGGTTGCGGATGGTGCTGGAGCCGTGGAAGCAAGGCAGCTGAGAGCCTGGGGGGAGTGGCGAGGGCGCGGGTCATGGGCTGTCTGCCGAGGCCCTCCCCTCCCACTTCAGTACCTTCCCTGGCTGCAGACACAGTTCTGCCTGGGAAGGGGAGTTCCGTCTTGAGCCCATCTGCACCCCACACTCCTCAGGCCCTCCAGGTGCTGCATGAGGGCAGAAGGGGAGAGGACCAGCACCATCTCGCCAAGGGTGGGACCCAGAGGGAAGGCTGGGGAGAGGGTCTGGGGAACGGGCCCTGAGCTGGGCACTTATCTGGTCGCAGGCCAATGCCTATGCTACGTCTGACACTCACAGATGATCTGGGCCACCGTCATCACGGGGCCAGACGGGGATGCTCCTGAGCAACGGCGACAACCTGTGGGGTGGGGGCAGGGGCGGGGAGGAGGAGGACACTGGCAGCTTAGCCCAGTGTGCACTACAGCCTTGAGAAGGGAGATGGGAGACCGGGCCCAGAAGAGCTGGGAGAGGAGGGATCTGGGACAGGAGGGCGAGGTGGCCAGGAGATGGCTCTGTGGGAGCGGATCAAGAGGAGAGCCGAGGGAATACTTCCAGCTCAGCAGGAGAGGGCAGTGTTGGGACAGGGAAGGGGCCTAGGGACAGGGCAGTGTGTGGTCAAGGGCCAGCAGGGGGGAAAGTGGTGACCAGAAACACATGGGGGTGGCAAAGAGAAGAGCCAGAGACATGGAAGGAAACAAGCTCAGGCAGACAAGGGACAGGAGACAGGGAGGGACGCTGTTCTTTCCCTGAGTGTGCCCAGAGGGTGGTTTCTGTGGCCTGTGCACCACCCCCCGCATACCCTCCCACCTCCCCTCCAGCTCTATCAGGAATCAGGAGGAATGTCCCAAAGGAAGAATGGCACTAGATAATGGGAGCTGGAAACCCTCTGGGAGTACCGCCCCCCCCCTCCCCCCCGTCTTGAGGTGGAATCCACTTTTTGGAAGTTCCATGCTCCAGGGCCCCAATATGAGTGGGAACCCTGAGGCACTATGGGCACTGCCCTGTCCCCAAACATATGGCCTCTTCCCAGCCCACCTTGCTGCATGATCTCGACGATCTGTACCACTTTGTCCATGTGCTTTCGAGCAGCAATCAGCCCCTGCAGCATCAGCATCTTGTAGTAGTTGAACATGTCGCCATCCAGGCCCCCCATCACCTGTGAAGGGACACTTGTGTGTGCACAGGGCTCAGTGTCCTATAAGCCAGCCAGGACCCCCTCCGTCGGGGCAGACACGCCAAACTCCATGACTTCCCCGCTCTCTTATCAGGCAGGAAGCCTCCCAGGACATCCAGCCTCACCCTGACTTGCTGCCATTTCTGTTGTTTGTTCCTAATTTGGGGGGAGCCCATAGCTCCCTCTCCCAAGACAGAGAAAGGACACAGTGAGGCACCTCTCCTTCCTGACTCACGTCCACAAACTCTGTGGTCAGCTTAAAGGCTGACGTCTCAAAGCCCAGGTTTCGGGGTGAGCTGGACAGGATGAAGCCAAAGTCGATGTGGATGATGTGGCCTTCTGCATCCAAAAGGATGTTTCCATTGTGTCTGAGGAGGGGGCAGAGGAGAGAAAGAGGCAGTAGTAAGTCTGACTGAGGTGGGAGCCTCAAGATGCAACACACTGGCCACGTGATACCAGGCAGGGGCACCTCCTGCCACGTTTGTTGCTGCTTAGAACTCTGGGCCCAACCTCCTAGGACCTAAAGCTAACAGCGGAAAGAAGGGAAATCAGAAAAGTAAACTGCTATCAAAGGCCGTGGAATCTGAAATTGTATTATGATTATTTTTGAAATTGCATTAACAACTGAAAACAGTTTAAGAATATCCCCATTTTCCAAAAATCATGCTTCTGGCACCCAAACTGATCCCAAATAGAGCACCTGGAGGCAAGGAAAGGTCTCTAGCTCCAGCCAGCTGTCTCAGAGGCCAAGCCCTCTGCTCAGTGGGAGGCCTCTAGTCAGAACATACTTTACCTGTATTTTCATGGTAATTCCTGTCAGCCCCTTGCAGAGCAGAGCCCCACTATAAGAGCACAGGCTGAGCGGAGTGTACGTGTAAAATAGCGTGGGGCTCTGAGCAGGAGATTCTAACTACATGGTAAGATCACTAACGTTAAAAGAAAAAAATCTCCGGAGACAATTATTACAAGCTAGCTGCAGGAAGAAGAGTTAGAGGGAGAGAAATCCCAGGTCTCCGTGATCCCCCCAAAATGGCCAGCAGAAGGAGGAACAGTTAGCATGCCAAGCATGTGAGCCCGGCCCATTCAACCTAACTGACCCTCTCTCTCAGTGTCAACAGAGGCTTTGGCAGGCTAAGAGCTCCTAGTCTGGAGCCCCCTTCTCTAGGTCTGGTGTGACTGGCTAAAAAAGGGGAGAGAGGGGGAGCCAGTCCCACCTCAGTCCTTCCCCCTTGGGGAAAGCATTACAAATTTAGCAATAAAGGCAGTCTTGGGAGTGAGAAGGGTTTTAGATGTCCTAGTCCAAACTTTCATTGTACAGGTGAGGAAACAGAGGCTCCAAGAGAAGGGACTTTCATGCCCATGGCCCCATGGCTATGGAGGGGAGGCTTCTCTCAAATGCTGGAATCCACTCCGCTGCAAGGTGGTCCGGGGCTCTCCGCAGCAGTTGAGATCTTACACCTGATTCTACATGGTTCACTGTCACCACTTCTCTCTAGTGGCTGATCCATTCACAGATTGATGACATCTGCTCTTTATTTTACAAGGCTTATCAGCTGCCTGACCCCTCACCCTCTTTAAAGGATGATCTCTACTCTTCCAAACACACTAGTTTCCTACAGGAAAGCTCAAAGGCCTGACTAGCACCTGCCCGCTGCCACCCCCACTTAATCCGGGGCTCAGCTCCAGGCTCTCTGGGCCTTGGGTTCAAAATCCTACTTCTTCAGGGATAGTCTAAAGCTTGCAACCAAAATCCTTACAAATAATCACATTTCCCATTGGCCTGTGCATGCAGAGCCTCTGCTGGGTTCCTTTGTAGGGCTGGCTGGGTAGAATAGGCAGAGGTCCTGAAAGCTCCTGGACCCTCATTTCCCTTGGGGGAAGCGCCTGCCTCACAAGGTTTTCGTTGGCTTTTAATATGAGAATGCCAGGCCATGACAGGTACTTAACGGATGTGAGATTTCTGTTAAACATCCCGTTAGTCAGATCTTCACACACTGCCATGTTACCGGGAGCCCTAGGAGCTCAGGCCACTGCACACCTGTCTTTCCAGGAGGCTGCCCTCTATCTAGTGAGAGGTGCAACTCACAGGAACATTCAGGGTGCTGACCTTGAGTCACTCACTGTCCGGAGACAGACTCTCTAAGACAGACTTTCTCAGGGGTAACTATCTCTGTACAACACGTTGTTCACCTATACGTGAAGTCGGACCTCACAAAGTTCAATGTGATATTGAAAGAAATGACCACTCTGGGGGAAACAACAGACACTTAAAAGCTTTGGAAGTCATGTGTTGGAACAAGAAAGGGAGTATGGGGCTGGGAGGTAAAACTTTGTGTCCACCATGTCCCTCACATGCATCTTGTCTCCTGCTCTCGGTCACCGTCGCCACCACCCTCAGGCCGGGCCTCAGTACCTCTTGCTTTGTTGCTGAAGACCCGGATGAGTCCAGCCTCACCCTCAGCGCCACAGGGGCGATCACCAAACTGTCACTGAACACAGACTGGACCCTGTCACTCCTGCGCCTGCAGACTGAGGCTCCTGGGCCTCACAAGGGAGGCCCTCCGACCTGGCCTCGGCTTACCTGCGGTGCCCCCTGCTCCCTCTGCCAGGCAGCGTGGCCCCGGCTTTCAGCACACTGGGCTGGTCCCTCTCCTGGAGAGTCCCTGCCCCACAGTGCCCTCTAGCCTCGTCCTCCTCATCCTTCAAGACACTGCCTGCTCAATCCCTTGCTCCTCCCCTAGGTCCTTCAGGTCTCTGCCTCTGTATCCTAGTACTTGTCAGTCTGCCTCCCTGCTGAACCCGCCCGCAAACACGTCGCTGCTTCAACTGTGCTGTTCGTTCCACTTTGACATCTAGGCAACAGGAGGCGGGGAAGAGTGACAACACGCATGAAGGGCCGAGGTTAGGATGAGGAGTTCACCCACCTGTCCTTCACTTGTAGCAGGTAGCAGACCAAGCAGTAGCCAGCACAGCTTTGCACAAAATTGCGCTGGGCACTGAGGAATGCCTCAGTGGTATAACTGCCGTGCTCCTGCAGGAAGTAATCGAGCAAGGAGAGCTGTGACTGCTTCTTCACCTGGTGAATGGACACAGCGTTGACCACTGGTTCAATCATGCCGCTGTCGGCCGAAATCACAAGGATCTTGTATGGCTTGATCCACAGGGGCACTCGCTCCTGTTCCCAAATGGACTGTGAGGAGACACAGAGGCATGCGACTATCATCTTTCCAAACTGGGGGAGGAGGTTAAAATCCCCCTCTGACCTCAACCTTGGACAGTCCCCATGGTTTTGGATTCTGGATCATCAAGTGAGTAAAAAACCCACTGATCCCACTGAGGACCAGGGAGGTTTGAAAGAAGTCCAGGGCCCGACAATACACAGGGAGGTATGTGAGAAAAGCATCGGATAGATAGAAAGCCCCAAAAAGGCAAAGAAAGGATTTAGGTGCAGAAAAGCCCTCCCTAGAAAATGACAATATTTTCAGAAAGAACTGGATGAAATAGGCGAAGCTGCTTGCAGGCGACCAATTCAAAGGTTCAGGGGATCGACAGCACACTGCAAACCACCTGCCACAGGCCAGTTCGGAGACTAAAGGACAAACCCAGCCCCCAAAGTTCAGGGATCACAGAAGACATGGGCCACGAAAAGGCCACGAGGGGTCATTGTGGAGCTGTTCCCATGGTTGTACTTCCTGGGGAAGTGCACTGGGGAAGGAGCACCGGCTCAAGTTGTGTCTGCATCCAAGTTAGCCCCGGGGCAGAAAGCTGGGCCCCAGCAAGCGCCCCTTGGGACAACCTGCACGCTCACCTCAGCTGGCTCTTCACCTTTGTCCCCCCTGCCCCTTCTTACCTGCAATTGCTTCAACACCTGGAAGGCCAGGAGCTCCTGCCGAAGATCATCCCCACACTTGACAATGACTGACAGGAGCCGCCAATTGGGGAGGTGGCCATAGGGGGAGCCTTCTCTGATCCGCCTGTGAAGAAAGAGGCAAAAGCAAAAGGTGATGCCAGGAGAGGACAGACATTGCTTCTGCCCGAAGTCCAGATCAAACTCCCCACAAGGCAAGGACTCAGAAGCCTGGGAGCCTGATGGTTTGGGAGAGGCTGATGGACAAGACAGGGGGTGCGGTGAGTCCCGGGTCACCTGCAAGTTCTGGGAGGGCCTAGAGATCACTCCCACCTGACTCACCTTACTTTCTCCTGCCAGGGCTCTTTGAGAGCAACTGCAGAAGGGTCTTCTGGGTCTCGTCTGAAGGCTGTGGGGGTATGAGCCAGCTGCTCCGAGAGCCGCCGTCTAGCAGGAAGAAACTATATCATTTGCTTGGAGGAGACACCCCAGAGCCTCACGTCCCTGTCAATGCCGGAATTTCCTGTACTCTTTCCTTGACTCCGGGCACACAGAGCTAGAAACCTGGGCTGAGAGTGTTGCTAACCTGGTGGTTTCTAATCATGTTGCAATGCAGGTTACCAGGCCCCATTCCTCCACCGAGACTCTGAGTCAGATCAGGTGTGGCTCTGGCATCTGTGTTTCCAGCAAGCTCTCCTCCCCTCTCCCTTGATTCTGACACGTGTAGTCCTCAGACTGGGTCCGAGAAATGCTGTTCTAATTCCTTCCTCTGGTGCTTTCACCCCTTTGGAGTCCTCTTAAAATGTAACGTCCTTCTGCGGTAGCCCAATAATTTCTCAACCTGCACCTTCACTGCCTCAAGTTTTGTGGTCTCAGGACAAGGATAGAGTAAGGAGAGAGAAGAGGGAAAGACAGGCTGACACACAGGAAGGGGACAGAGACAGGCAGTGCCTGAGAGGGAGGAAGAACAAGGGGCAGGGTGGTGGCCTGGCCATACCGGATGTCCCCTGCTGCTATAAACACAGGCTCCTTGCTCTCCTGGCTGGTGATGCTGTCCACAGAGAACTGGGAGATGTTATCACAGCTGTTGGTGTGCACTTCAGGGAGCTGAGAGAGGAGGGGACCACAAGTCAGAAGTGCCAAGCACAGGCCTCGCTTCTGTCATCTACTCCTCCAGCCACTCTGCCTGCTTGCTGCCTCTGTGTCACAATCACCCCACCACCTTATGGATGCTGTTCCAAAAAGACTGCCCTGGTTCCATGCCATCCTCGCCACCTGGACCCCAAATGCCTAGGCACTCACACAGGCCTTACAGCAGCGTTTCTCCAGGCGTGGACTCTACCTGCATCAGAATTGCCTGGAACGCTGCTAAAACACAGACTCCTATTTCCTGCCATCAGTCTGAAGTAGAATTACTGGGAATGGGATCTGGAAGTCTGAACTTTTAACAAGTTCTCAGAAGACCCCAAGTGTGCTCAAGTTTGCACAGCCCCACCACAACGGCCACAGAAAGCTGGACTTCGGGCCTTCTACTAGGTGTTGTCCACAGCTTCGGCCTCATTCTCCCTTAGGAGAGAACAGAGCCTCTCCCGACTAGTCGCCTCTGACCATTTCTTCAGTCTCAGCCATTCAGTCTTATTTCCCCATCTCTCTCAAATACAAATTATTCTACCAGACCCCAGGGTCCACAGCAAAGTCCTTCCCTTCTCCTTCCTTCGCAGTGGATCCCTTCTCCTCAACTCCACTCGGCACTTACTGCACACTGCCCTGTTGTATATCCTAAACAAAAATTTTCCCCTTAGATGTCTGTGTCCAGTCTCCCTAATTGGACTGTAAGCTCAAGGACAGAGCTTACAAGTGAAGTCTGTCTTCACAAAATGAAATGTGGTTGTGTCACAGTCCTCCATAAAATGTGGCTCTGGCTCCGCACGAGAGTCCAAGTTTCTTTCCATGGTTGATAGGATCCTTCCTACAACCGGGCCCATGCCAACCTCTCCAGCCTCCTTCTTCACCACTTCTCACCCACACCACACATCACAGTCACACACAATGTCCTTCAGTTCCTCAACCGGGCCGAGCTCTCTTGTCCTCCAGCCTTTGCACATTTGCTACTCCCTCTGCCAGGAGTGCTCCGTCCAGTAAATTCCTACCCATCTTCAGGCCCCCATTGACCTATTACTTCCTTAGGAAATCATCTGAGGTGTGCCCAGGCCCAAGTCTGTAGTAAGTCCTACCTCTACCCTCAGGTGCTCCCGTTAACGCCCTGCCCTCTGCAGCACAACTGGGGTCTCGCCGGACTACAGCTACCTGCTGACTGGTCTTGTCATCTGTCTTTTCAGGTCATAACTCCTTGCAGGCAGGGGCCATTGTGCTCACTAGCACACAGCACTCAAGGTTGGCACAAAGAAGGCCCATAAATATTTCTTGAATGAATGAATGTATGACTTATCATTCTCTGCTTCCATAAGACAGCTTTATATAGCAAATGTTCAATAAATACTCTAAGTTTCCCTCACTCCCTTGGGCTTAGGAATTCATCCTTATATTTAACCTAAATTCCTTCAGCAGGAAAACGAGCTCCACCTGAATATTCCAGACTAGCTCTGTCCAGAGCCTTTCCCCTCATCCCCGTTACTACCTAGCTCATTCGTATGGGCACTTGCCTCAGCCTGCCTCTCAGGGTGTGTGGTCCTGTCTCAAATATAACGAAAGCTCCTGGAGAACGGGTGCTGGGCCCCAGTACCACCTCCTGGGAGCTCCCTCACCTCCACCTGCAGCTCGCCGATGTCATCCACCGACCAGGCCTCGTCATCGTTGTCATAGTTGGGCACGGTGCTGAAGCTGCCTGCCCGCTGCTCATGGGTGATACCGCATTCGGGCAGGTTCTCCACGGACCGTGTGCTCCGAATTCGGTTCTCAGGTATCCGGGCGGGGACGTTGGTGGTGTCAAAGTTTTCACATTCGAGGACTTCCACATAGATCAGGTAGGGAGCCTGGCAGGGTGGGGTGCAGTGGGTGTGAGACCAGTATTTGCCACTTAGCTCCACCGTCGTCTGCCAAATCTCCCCTCTGCTAACACTGTCCTTCTAGCTGCCCACTCCTAGCTCCAACCCTTGCCTGTCAGTCCCTTGACACTGTGAACACAACATTCAGGGCAGGAACTTGTCCTGCGAACATGCATTTCAAGAATTTGCGTGAGAGCATGCACAGGTTTTGGTTTTTTTTTTTTTAATGTTTTAGCTGAGGGGCGCCTGCTGGCTCAGTTGGAAGAGCATGTGACTCTTGGATCTTAGGGTTGTGGGTTTGAGCTCCATGTTGGGTGTAGAGATTACTTCAAAATAAAATTTTTAAAAATAAATAAATGAATGAATGAATGAATGTTTCAGCTGAGCTCCCACTTGTACAGATGATGCACTTAGGCAAAACTATTGATTATCACCATCAAAGAGGCCTGGAAGCCTCTGGGGGTTTGTCCTAAAGATAGACAAAGAGACTGGGGAAAAGCTGGGTGCTGTTCCAAGCAGGGTTCTAATCCTCAATACTTCTTCCGAAAAAGCCGAACCTTAGTACTCGCTCCAATCAGCACACAAGTTCAGCTAATTCTCTCCAACGTGTGTCTGGCATCCTTCTCTCTCCTCCCTGCCCACTCTGATGAGAGAAGGTCTTAGAAACAAGAGATTTCTCTACTCCCACTGTCACTGTGCCTGGAAAGCCTAAGAGTTAAAGATGGGCTGGAAGGAGGTTGGAGAGCAACTCTCTCCTGACCATGGGAAGAGGAGGACTAGAAAGATTAGGCCTCTCTGGGACCAGAAAAAAGGCCCAAGAAGGGGGACAAGATGGCCCCAGGATCACAACAGCACTGAGGTAAAGTCAAGATTGACAGGCGCACATGAACCATGAAGGAGTCCAGGATGTTGGTGCAGCATATCTGGGCATATACACAAACCTGGACAACCATGGGAGAAGAGTCAAATGTAGGGATGGGTTTGGGCCAGAGTCCACCTACCTTGTCCTTGGAGTTGAGGACAACAGCCTGGGTGTGGGGCACTCGGACCACGTGGTGGTCAAAGCCAGCAGTGGGCAGCCAGACTCGAGCAGGGAGCTTATGGTTGAGCAGGGAGAGCTCTGAGATCAGCCGCTGTGTTTTCTGCTCTTTGGTGGGGAGTGTGGCCAGCCGCTTGCCAATTGCCATCAGGGACTTGATAAATTCTCGCTCAGGAGCCAGTCTGACGGGCTACAGGGGTTTGGGGTGAAGTAAAAGACAGTGAAGAGACCATAGAAAAAAGTGGGCCACCCACTCAGTCACTCCTGGCCGTGCAGGCCAGGGATCCCCATGTCTGAACCCTAGGGAAAGAGCTACCTTTCAGCACTGGTGGCAGATCCCACCACTCCACCCCAGACAACCTGAGCTGGGAGTACGTAGAAAAGCCAGCCCACTCCTCCACAGGCTGATTCTTGGGTGGGAGGAGGGCATGAATGTGGGTCACTGGGAGGCACCCCTCTTCTCTTGGCCCTGAGTTCCTTAGGAACTGTCCCAAGGTTTCAAGATGGGTGGAGCGGACGGAGAGAAGAGCTGATTACACCTGACATGCTTCCCTCGGCTCAAGGTTCTTGGGCTGAGTCTCTGCTGCAGGGCTCTGCCAGAGCCCACACGGCTGGGGAGGGGAGCTCTGAGTCACTATGTCCCCTTGCAAAGAAGGAGGACTTACACCATTCAAATGACTTCTGTTACCTTCCATGGCATCCCCCCTGGTCCACCCCACGGTCTCTTACAAGGGGTCATTGCACATGCAGGGGATGAGGAGGAGATGGGAGTAGACTTTGCATTAATGAAGGAACAATCTATGGGGACAGAAAAAGGAGATGGAGGGAGGGAGGTGCAGGGAGGTGGGTGGAGAAAGCAATAGCTCCTTTCAGCCCTTGCCAAGGGCCCTGAAGGCCTGTCTCTTTCAGTGGTTCTTCCTTAGGTCCTCTTCCCCCTTCTCAGGGACTAGCGTCCCCTTATTGCTCCCTGCTGTGGGCCTGGCTCTGCAGGCTGGGTACTTCGTCATTCTCAGAAAGGGCAAAGTCTGCCTGGGGAGGGAGGTGGGAGTAGGAGGAAAGATGGACACAAAGAAGGGCTCTTTTCCCAGTCCAAGTCCTTCTATCATAAGGGCACTTTATCAAGGTAGCCAACCAGCAGCCCCATCCCAGCTCCCCTCAGCTATGTAAGAACAGTATCTCCTCTTCTGGTAGAAACAGTATTTCACTCACCAGGCCTTTTTCTCCCTCTCTATGGGTCCTGTTTAGTTTCCTGAGAATTGAGAATTTCTACCCTCACCCCCTTACACTGCAAAGAAGAGCTTCTTTTGAAAGCTGGGCAGTACCAGGCCCATCTCTGCATGTGCAAAGGGCCAGGGTTCAAAGGAACAGCTCATCTCTCAGCCTCTGCCCCACAGAGGGGCTGGCTCAGGGCTCCACACAATAATGAAACAGGGTATCAGAATCAATCAGGGTTGCTCTGGGAAACAGGGTTGAAAAGAGATAAAGACAGGAAGAGAGCAGAACTGGGCTTCTGTGGCCCCTGGAAATATCACAGGGGCCCATGGAGAAAGCAAAAGAAAGGACGAGGAAATTTGGAGACTCACTCCTTCATTCATCCTGATCCCCTAATCCATCCACTCAGGTGGCAAATGGTCACTGTTCCAAGGACTCTCCACCCCAACCAATTCAGAGTCATCTTAGATTAGAAAAGGCAGAATTCCTTCCCATCCTCCAATCAGCATTTGGGTCGGGGGCCCCTACATTCCTTGAGTATGTTGGAGATGTGACCCCAGGCCTCGAAAGAGGCTCTGCCACATGGGAGGAGATAGGAATCATGATTGAAAGGAAATCAGCACAGAACGGAGAAAATTGACTGGGTAGATAAATCAAAAAGAAAATGTAAAAAAATCTTCCAAACTCCCAGAGGGTCCAGCATTTCCTCTCACGTCTCTGCCCAACAACAAGGTCCAAGACCCTGTGGGATCAGAGGGTCACGGGGTTAGTCCAGAGGGAACAAGAAAGGAGAATGCAGATTAAGGAACCTCCTGGCAGTGAGCTGGGAAAGGGAAGAACTCAGACCTGGAAGAAAGGTGGTTGAAGCTAAAAAAGAAAACCAGCTGTGGGGAGGTAAAACTTTCCTTCAGGCCAAATCCTGTTTGCTTTTGGAGTCTGCTCCCCCAGCACAGGGGCTAGCATTTAGAAGGGCTGAATAAATATTTGATGGTCTGATGGCAGAAGCCATAGGGAAAGGGTTCTGGGTGGGGGAAACAGGATCCTGGGGGTTTCTGCCAAACAGTTCTTGGCATGAATCCAGGGGTAAATTCTACCTCTCTCCCAGCTGTTTTCTCTAGAGACCCAGGAACAGGGGCTGAGTCATGTTGCATCCCAGGTGCATCTGGGAGAAGGCCCCACCTGGACTCAGGGTACTAGAGGCAAAGGACGGGGGATTCCTCCAGGCTGGGGAGGCCGGGTGGGAGGGGCGGTTCTCCCAGGAAAAAAAGGCACCTTTTAACTCCAGCCTTGGCCTGGGGACTCAGAAGACCTGGGGACGGAGAGGAAATGCGGCCACAGGGGGAGCCTGCCACCCAGTCCCAGCCTGGCCCCACTTACGGAACTGAATGAATTATCAATACTCTCGGTGCTGGAGGAGAGCTCCTGGGAAAGGGCCAGAGGGCAAAGGGAGGAGGAGGGGCAGGGAGGGAGGGGAGAGAGACAAAGGCAAAGAATTTAGCTCCAACCTGGATCATAACAGCTTCTCTTGTGATCTCTACCTTGCTGCTTTAACAGGAGAAAGTCAACCCAGAAACACCACTTGCCCCAATTCTTGACACTTGTGGGAGACACTGGAAGGCTGCTAGCTCAGACCTTCGTAAAAGAAGGGTTGAAGAGACAGAGGGCCTGTGCTTTTCACTTTCCGCCCTTCTCTCCTTGCCTGAACCCAGCTCTCCCTCTAACATCTGGGTGCCTCAGGGCGGTAACTGCCCTGGCAAGCTGCCTGCTTTCTCTTCGTCCACTCAGTCCACTCATGCGCTCCCACCCAGAGTCTTCTCTGTGGAAACCACCACAAAGGGACTGAATGTAACAAGCTGTGTGGCCCCCATACTGGAAAGCCCGCATTCCTCCAGCTTCTTGGAAACAGCAAGGAGGAAGGAGAAAAGCTAAATTTTCAGTGTCAAGGGTGTCTCCTCTCCAATCAGCCTCATTATCACCCTGGGAAGACCAGTCCCAACACTGAAGCAGGTGACAAGGGACACTCCAGAGCCATGAGCATGACACCTCGGGGCTAGATGCTGCTGGGCATAAAGGAGGGGATGACTCTATCTACCAAACCTCCGCAGGCTTCCTATCAGGTTATTTCATGCCCCACTCAATAAATTACAATTCTTGGACCCAAGTTGGGGAGCTGGCCCTAGCTGCATCCACCTGAGAAAGCTGAGCAGCTGGGTAGCAGCCATCCAGGTCCCAGGTGAGGGGATTTGTCTAAATCTCACCCTGTGTCTTACTGGTGTCTAGAGCAAATCAGGGGAAAGGGCTAGTGGTCAAACTCTCCTCCAGCGGCTCTGTTGGAGCTCACGCACAGACCCATCCTGAGTTCTGTCCGCCAAGGTCTCCCAGGGCAGGGACAAAGGGGCAATACCTGTGCACCAACCTGCAGGAGGGCAGGGGCCTGGCCTTAGGAGACAAAGCCCTGGGAGGTCCCAGGGCAGGAGGGCAGTGGTCACTAAGCTTCTACTTTGCAATCAGGATGTCAAGCATCTACTTAATTCCATTCCATGGTTTACATTCTCTTCTAGCTGGAGGTCCTACAGGCAGATCATTCCTTGAAGGATCTGGGGAGAAGGGCACTTTGAGGGAGAAGGCAAGCCAAACACTCTCCCAAGGCAACAACTCCTCTGCTTTGGGTAGGTAGGCAGAGGTGGGAGGGAGAGCTGAGGCAGTGAGGAGGATGCCAGAGTCTGTTCTGACTTAGTGGCTCAATTTCTACCTATGAGCTGGCTGGGGAAGAAACAGCAGGCAGGATATTGGCTCAGTGAGCAACGCTCCAGCTGAGTCTTCCACAGACAGGCCCTGTCTGACTCATTAACAGCCCTGGGGGAAGGGAGGTATATCTGTCCTACTCTGTAGGCTTGAGTCACTCATACTGAGTCAGCTCCAGGACAAAAGCTGAGGCCAAGAAGCTGACATCACACCGCATCAGGCTGGAAGGCCCACCGGGGTTTCCAGTGTGACACGCAGCAGATTTCTCTGTACAAAGGTTGCAGTCCTGAAAAGACAAAGCTCATCTACTAGAACTGTCATTGTGTGGGGACAGGGTGTGGAGTGGGGGTGGTACCTAAATCATCTCTGCTCCCTGGGCCCCTACTCTAGGTCAGAATGTCCAGCATTTTGGTTACAAATGGGAAGGAAAACCACCTGAGCAGAGTCCTCTGGTTAGGCTGACAAAAACTGCTTTGAAGCGGTGTGTCCTAGGGGCTGAAATGGTGAGGGGTGGGAGAAATCCGCGCTAGAGCCCTTGGCTGCTGTGGTCCAGAGTGGAAAAGACCCATCATTAGAGGAAAACAGAACCCTGTGTGACATCTGGGGAGGGGAAGACTGCAGGGAGACTCTGGGCAGGGGGACAGCTAGACCAGCAGCCCCAGGGCCGCCTCTTGTGCGGCCTCACTTTACTCTCCAGAGCTTCTCTTTAGATAATTTCGTGCTTTGTTTAGTAAGCTGGTGACTTCCTCCTTATATGCAGGAGACAGCTTTTCAAGAGAGTCACGACCTCCACCAAAAAACTGTTAGAACTGATGAATTCAGTGAAGTTTCATGAAACAAAATCGGGAGTCCCACACTAAATGGTCTCTCGGATAATGGGGTCTCAACATTCCAAGTTCCTGGAGGGACAGGCCGTACTTTATCCTCCAGCCCCCACTGCCTCCTGGCACTGGACACTCTGCACACTGTACAACCTCATTTGTTGAGTGAATGAATGTTGCATAACAGGGGAGGAGGAGGAGGAGGCAAACCCATTCCCTTGGTATTGGGCCTTGACAGATGTATCCTCAAATTGACAAAGGGGGTTTGGAGAGACCTCTGTGCCAGACGCCAGTGCTTGGACCCGTAGAGATATTCATGTTTATTCTCTCACTCCTGCTCTCATGTTTCCTAAGAACGCACAGTGGGTTCAGGTATCTCATTCTGCCAGCATCAGATAACCCAGGAATGCCTAGGGATGGGGTATCTCCTTCCTTTCCTGGATCTAGTGACCCACGATAAGGTGCCAGGTTGGAAAGAATGGCAGCCAGAGAAGCCATCCCAGAGGATTTAACAGAATACCTAGGTCTCAGAGTCATTCATGATTGCATCTTGGGAAGGAGTTAGAACCAAGGAAGAGAGATCAAGGACCAGCACAGAGTAGCCCTGAGGCCTCAGCTTTTCTGACCCTAAGATGAGGACCATCAAATGCACACAGAGAAAAGCCACGCCTGACAGGAGGCACCAAGGGGCTCACTTCTAGCTGCTCACACACACACTGCTATGGGCCTGAGCCCAAGAGGAGGAGCTCCCAAACCCTTCATGACCATAGTCCCACCAGATCGAAATGATTCTTCTTGTTCTGTAACAACCTCCCTTCATGATTCTGAACTTCCCTGCCAAGCTCAACCAGAAAAGGAAATGGTCCATTTTGGTTCTGAGAACAGTTGAGCTCTTCTGCCTGTGCACGGAACTGTGGAAACCTAGATGGCTAAGGCCTAGGCCATTCTTCCCCAGGTGGACTCTGACAGCTGAGGGCCTAGGAAAACGGATGCTGAGAAGTAAGCAAGATGGCCTGGCTGAATGATGGAGGAGTACCAGCTGTGAACTGAGGCCTGGCTGAGCAGCCCTGGGCAAATCACCTCGCCTCTCTAAACCTGTCTCCCCAATGGTAAAATAATCCCCATCTCTTAGGACTTTGTGAGGATGAAACGTAAAGTACCTGGCATGATGCTTGGCACATAATAGATGCTCAATAAATGTTAGCTCTGTTGGCTTCACGATTATTAAACTATCGTAACAAAATCCCAAAATTCCAGAAAGCAGGCTCTGTAGTCTCTGTCCCTCCTGCTTTCTCCCTTCCTTAGTCACTCTGATTCAAAGAAGCTGAAAGAAGTCTCATTGTATCAAAACCGTGGGTGGGTTATGTGCCCCACAGGGGCACATGCCAGCACCGTGGCTATATGCATTTTCCAACAAGTGCAAATTCCTTGTTCTTTTCTCCCTTCTTTCGTAGGCTGGGCTGGCAGCCAGAATGAGAGCCGGGATGGTGGTGAGTCAGAAGGGGGTACTGGAGCACCATTGTCTGGCTGGGACACCAGGTCACTGACACTTGGTTGTCCCCTGGCAACTTCCCAAGCTATCTGTCCAGACATGGGATGGCAGTTGGGCATAACCTACTGATGTGCTTATCTCCTCCCTGCTCTGGGTCCTAAACTGGACACCCCCAGCTGTTCCTGCAGCCTTCTCCTCTTTCCAGCCTTCAAGTCTCTGACAAGCCTCTGGGCATGCCCAAGATTTACTCCACACCAAGACTGCTTCCCTCTTCCCTTTGTGCTTCTCCCAAATGCAAAGTGAAAGATCCCAGCAAGACATCCCTTCTCTGGAGGAAAGGCAGGCACAAGGGCATTCTGCAGATGCCTCAGTGACAGGGAATAAACCTTACTCTTAAGTCGACAAAAAGCAGGATCACTGGGAATGGGGCAGAGGGATTATGAGGAGGAGGGACCAGGAGAATGAAGCTAAGGCTGTATTTAACACACCTTCCCTCCAGCACACACACCATCCCTTTTCCTCCCCTATGGCTGCTGCTCTGAGAGGTTCTGGTAGATCCCCAGGTATCTATCAAGTCAGGGTGGGAGGGGTCTCTGCCACAGTTCTCAGTAAACAGTTAATGGAAAGGCAGGGAAGTTGAGTAAAAACACCCAGGCAGAGTCAGGAGTGTCAGTCTTGCTATTAGCTATATGACCTGAGGGAGGTCACTTTATCTCTCTGGGTCTCTGAGTTCTTCCTTTGTAAAATGAGGCAGTTGGAATACATGAATCCTAAGGTCTTTTTCCACTCTGACATCCCATGCTTTTATCAGTGAAATGAAACAGAGGGAAGGAGAGAAAAGGACAGAGGAACTGTATGTCAGACATCCTGTCTCCATGCCACCTTGCCCCACTGCCCCTTCCAGGCATTTTACCTCATCCTCATTCTCCACTTTGGGGTTGCTGGCTGTTCGTTTCAGGTTGCTGCTGAGGCTTATGCTGGCGGTGGCATCAGACTTAGAGCGCTGGTGAGTCCTTTTAGAGGGAGATAGCCCCATGTCAGGTGCTGGGCTCAGAGAGGGCAGCTCCCTCTTCCGGTGAGCTGGCTTCAGCTCATCTGAGAGGATCAGCTTCCGGAGCTTGGTCCCACGGGAGTGTCGCTGAGTGGAAATGTGCATGTCTGAAGAGTAGGCACCAAGCAGCAGGGCGCACTGGAGGGAAAAGTTAATGCTCTGGCGGCAACGGTGGACGATGTAGGGCTTGATGGCATCACCCACATCCTCATCCATGTGGATGTACATGTTAAGCAACTGAGGCAGATAGAAATCCACATCCTCATTGCGAAAGCAGAAGAGCCGGTTGCCAATGTAGGCTTGTACTCCAGGCTCCTTGGAGTTGTATAGGTAGGAAATGGCCATGGAGATGTCGAACAGTTTGGACTCAAACAGCCTCAGGAGCCAGGATTGTCTGGCTGAGTTGTTCTGCCGCCGCTTCCTTGCTCCCTTGGCTGTGCCTGAGGCCACAGTGGCCCCCATTTCATCTTCTTCCTCCCTTATCTGGGAAGGTGGATCATCCAGGCAACGGATCGCACTGTCCAAAATATCTCCATTGACCAGCTCCAGTGGGGTGCCTGTGCTAGAGACGGCCACGCCTCCACGCAAAAGCTTGACTTGCTCCAGCACCTCCTGGCAGGCCTTCTGAGCCACCTCGCGGTCAATCACCGATAGTTCCCCAACCCCCTCTGTGATGACGCCTAGCAAGGAGCCCCCGTTATTCCCTGGTGGGCCAGGAGTGGGCTCAGAAATTGGCTTCAGAGGGGCAGGTTCCACCACCATGTCTCCCATGGCCACAGCCAGACTTCGAGCTTCCAAGCTGGAGGAGGAAGGAGAGAGAAAGGAACAGAAAGGGAGACACATACACACCAGTTAGTGGTGGCATCCTTGGGTTTTCCTTTGCCCACCATGAAACCTACCCAGGCCCCTCCTCTTTTTGTCTTCCTGGACTTCTTCAAAATCAGACGACAAGCCATCTCCCATGGAGCCTCCCCTTCCTACCTCTATGGCTGATCACATTACTCTTCCTTCCTTCTGCACTTAGCTACTCGGCTTAGCCTCTGTTCCTACCTTGTATTTGCAAAATGTTGCTTTACATGTTATGTTTGTATAGGTGTATACATTCTGCAGATAGACTGGGAAGCAATTCTCGTCTTACTCCCTTGTCTCTAACTCTTCAAATGTTTTTCTATCTTTGTGCTCTTTCTGGGTCTTCCCTGACATGCCTGCCCATAACCTTTTTCTTTTCTTCTTTAATCTGTTATTTCCTTACTCATATAACACTCCATACACAGGTCCTAAGCATCTCACCTTTATTTAGTATCAAAGTCTTCATATATTTTTCTAATCACAGATACTTTACCTTCTCTTTAGACTCAAAGTTCCAAGGAATAGGGTCAGCAAATAATATCCAGGCTTCACTTAGAAGAAAACAGCTCTAAAACAACCATCATCAACTCTGCAGAAGTGTGTCATTTCTCTGCTTGTCTGACTTCATGACACCATTCTCTCTTTCTCTAGTGCTGTGGTAGCTGAAGTAAAGTGGAAAGACTCCTGAACTTGGAGTCAAATAGGCTGGGATGGGATTCAAGATCCTGGCTCTGCCATTATGAAATGTGTAATCTTATGCAAACCATCTATTTTCTGAGTTTCAGTTTCCTCAACTGGAAAATGGGAAAAACATCTATTTCTCATTGTTACTGTGTGGAATAACTTCATGTGTGTAGAAGGATCTAGCACAGTCCCTGGCACACATTAGCAGTCAATAAATATTAGGTGACTCCCAATCACCTAACAGGCTAGTAAACAGTGTACACGCATGCAAGTGTGTGTGTGCGCACGCATATACTGTTTGTAAGGAAAGTGAACTTGAGTTACACTCGTTGTCTGAGAATCCTCCAAAACATTTATGACAACTCTCTCCTACCCCGACACTACTTTCCCCATTATCACACACACACTTCAAGAACTGGAAGGGCTGAGAGAAAAAAAAGAACTCGGGCCAGAGCTCATGGGTCTATAACATGCAAACTACAGGGAGGAACAGGAATCACATCACCAAGAAGCCCTCTCTGGAGTGACAAAAGCCACTGCTCTCCTAGAACCGTTCTTCAGAGCCTCACCGAATCCACATCAGAAGAGTTAGTGCACAACTGAAGGAAATTTCAAAACGGGGACTGGGAGAGGCACATTGTTAATGTCAGCTCAACCCAGCTCCAGAGTCTGACGGTAGTAAGCAATGGGCTCAGAGGCCTCTTCATGAAAACACAGTGAATCTAAGATAAACTCAAGAGCATGAGCAAGAGGAAGGCAGAATCTACTGTAGAGCTAGAATGCAGGTAATTTCCAACTATTAGTGACATCACCTTGGATGCTTGTGAATCTGGGGACATAGGACTTTGGGTAGGTGAAAAGAGGCTCAAGATACAAATTCTCTGATCACACTGAGAAGCCCCATTTTCCACTGCCACCCTCCCAGGGCCTCTTCTTGAACCTCTAAAACATTAAAAGTCAAAGCTATCTGCTCTGCCAATACTATTATAGCCCAGCTCCCTGCCTCCCAGCAGTCCCCACTGAAGTCTTGCTGGAAGACAGATGAGGAACTCTTCTGTTCTCAGAGATCACCAAAAAAGGCTTCTTCGGTTTATCTTTCTCCCAACTCTGTCAAACAAGAAGTTCCCATCCCTGAATTTAATTTCTCCGATGCAGCTTGAGCTCGGAATCAGTAAAAATTTGGCAACTTGTTCATTATCTCTCCTAAAATTGGGCAGCATCCTCTGAACAGCAGAACCAGCATGGCTGCCTAGGTGGATCTGTCCCTACTCACAGCTTTAGGTGACACAGGAGTCATAAGGAAGTTTCATCTCCCCTTGCCACACCTTTGCAGGGTTCTCTGAGCAGAGGGTCATTCTAACTCAACTGAGACCACTACCTTTTAGGTCTGCTGAAAAACTCACGTGACAGCTTCAACTGTTTTATGCAACTAACTTTGTTTCCTCAATCTGTCTATGCGTGGCACATCTTTCCCCTTCCCTGTATTCCAGAGACTTCCAAGTCACCAAAAGCTCCTAAAATCCACTTTTCAAAACTTCTGAGAGATGTGAAGTTCAGACAATCTCCCACATTTAGCACCACAGACCTCACCAGGATCTGCAGCAGATGCCTGCCCACATTGATCACAATTGGGATTGTTACTGGCACCAGCAAGGGAGGTAAGCCTGCCATTATTATTTTTTTTAATCCCAGGGCTTAGCCAGGAATCCCACATCACAGTACTCAGGGGACTCCTCACTGAACAGATCCCCCATCTAGCAGTCTTTATTCCCTAGGGAACCAGACAGTGTTATGAGGTGCAGGAAAACTGGATTCTTCTCCTATGTAGGAGGCTTTGCCACTAGAAACTACCAAACTGGAGGTGGACCTCCCTGGCCTCTTTGAGCCTCAGGGATTGCCTGCATCTGAAGCAAGTCATGGGGGGAAGGAGGTGTTGAGTTGCCAATTTAGACAATAAGAAACAGGAAAAGGATTTTCTAAAACCTAAATCTTGATATGGTCTTCAACATCAATTCATTCCTTTTCAAAAGCAAAGACAATATAGCTTTGGTAAGTAACCATTCTAAAGAAAGGGAAAGGGGGGCGCCTGGGTGGCGCAGTCGGTTAAGCGTCCGACTTCAGCCAGGTCACGATCTCGCGGTCCGTGAGTTCGAGCCCCGCGTCAGGCTCTGGGCTGATGGCTCGGAGCCTGCAGCCTGTTTCCGATTCTGTGTCTCCCTCTCTCTCTGCCCCTCCCCCGTTCATGCTCTGTCTCTCTCTGTCCCAAAAATAAATTAAAAAAAAAAAAAAAAGTTGAAAAAAATAAAGAAAGGGAAAGGACTAGAAAGCTAAAGAAGAAACGAAGAAACAGGTCCTGTATTCATCACCCTTCCCCTTGTAAGAGAATTAGAAAAAAGAGGGGTGCCTGGGTGATTCAGTCTGCTGAGCATCTGACTTGATTTCAGCTCAGGTCACGATCCCAGGGTCATGGGATCTAGCGCTGAGTCAGACTCCATGCTGAGAATGGCCTCTTAAGGTTCTCTCTCCCTCTTCCCCTCTCACTTGCATGCTCTCTCTCTCTCAAAAGAGAGAGAGAGAGAGAATAAGCAAAAAGAGAACAAAATTCAAATCTTTAGTATCAAATGGCCCCTATGCTCTCAAAGATGTTCAAACAACTGAGCCCCACATTTCACACTGGGAATCTAAACTGTCCTTCCAATTAGATAAAGGGGACTGAAAATGCCTCCCCTGCCGCAGTCTAGCAGCTGGCTTCTAGGCACTGCGATGGGAGTGGGGGGTGTTAAAAACTGACTGGGCTCCACAGCTTACTGTCTGGGCAATGTAGGGAATCCTCGTCTGAGCATCAGGCGACCGTTCAGGGCAGAGCGCAGCAGGGGCAGACAGAAAAGCTATACATGCATGTGTTCTATGTGACCTAGGATTTAAGTAAATGTCTGCAAAACCTCTAGGGGGAGGGGATGTTTAACCTGGTTTCCCACTTCTCAAAAGATTCCAAGCAACAACCTTCCACCCCTGTACTGGTCTCCATTAAAGGCTTTCCTGGATTGGCCTCTGCTAGGATAGGAGGTAAAAAGCCCCAAATCAATCCTCTCACCCACTTAACCACCATTCCCTTCTTGGGGGAATAGATAAATATGGATTGGTTCAAACCAAACCTCATGTTTTTACACGTTCCTGTATTTTCAAAGAATAGTCTTAAGAGAACATCTGAATTTCCAAGCAGGTTGGCAAGCTCAATTTCCCTCCCTTTGAGATGGATCATGTGAGTTAGAAAAAAAGGTAGTGAAGCCACTATCTTAATCCTACAAGGTGAGTAGCTGAAAGGGACTGTTACAGGGGCGCCTGGGGGGCTCAGTCGGTTAAGCATCCAACTTCAGCTCAGGTCATGATCTCGCGGTTCGTGGGCTTGAACCCCACGTCGGGCTCTGTGCTAACAGCTCAGAGCCTGAAGCCTGCTTCGTATTGTGTCCCCCCCCCACCTCTCTGTCCCTCCCTTGCCCGTACTGTCTCTCTCTCAAAAATAAATAAAACATTAAAAAAGTAGAGACCTTTACAAGTTCATGGAAAAGAAAGGGAGGGTCACATATGTTATTTATAGTTACACAGGCTTCTAATAAATAAAAGTGACAATTATATAAACGAGAAGTGCAAATCCTCTAAAGTTCAATCCTCTTTTGTTACAATTAATAAATCAAGAAATAGAGGCACAAGCATTTTATCCAATGCTACAGTGCTAACCTTCAGAAATATTGTGATAATGAAGACATTAAAGGAATAGGAGTAGGGATGAATGGAAAGGAACTGTTGATCTCATCATAAAAGTGCCACTGGAGGGGGCGCCTGGGTGGCGCAGTCGGTTAAGCGTCCGAC